ACAAGCTTAGCAAAGCACAGGGACTGCTGTTCAATCCCCCAGCACCATATGCCAGCCAGCCCTGCCCCCTGGTGGGCTGAGCTGGACACACACACACACACACACACACACACACACACACACAAATTTTAAAAAAGGAGAAAATCAGAAAAGGGAAGTCTAGTGTTTTGAGGGATGCCAGTGCTGAAGGGAAATCTAGTGATTAAATTTTAGCAACGTGTAAAAATTGAGAGAAAAATGAGAAAAGGTAAAGCAAAGGGAGTCAGAAAAGACACAGAATCACCCCATCTAGCTACCAGAAGGATTTTTTAAAAAAATGTATTTGGTACAGGGTCTCACTATGCAGCTTGGACTTGTAGTGATCCTCCTGTTTTCAACCTCTCCAGCACTGTGATTATAGGCTTACGCCACCACGCCTGGTCTCGGTGGCTGGCTCAGCATGTCCAGGGTGCGGCTGGCATGGTATTGGTGCCAGGGATTGAACTGCAGTCCCTGCACTTGCCTAAGAAGGAGCTTAGTCTGTTGAGCTATTTCACCATCCCCAGGATTTCAAGTCCAAGGTAAATTTTTACACTGCATGTCTTGCCCTTAGACTTCCAATATTTCTAGGCCACCCTGGTATGGTATCTAATTCTGAAAACCTGCCTAAAATCAACAGCTGGGAGCACAATCTGCATCGTGGATCTTCCCCAAAGATTTTTATCACATATTTGTCAGTTTAGCTCTATGCCCTTGTCTTAGCACCTTCTTTCTTGCCAAGATCTTTTCTCTGACAAAAAGCATTAAAAGTGATTTTTTTTACAGAACACTAACACTCATTTTTAAAATTTATTTATTTTTTATGTATTTGGTATAGGGTCCCACTACACAGCTTGGACTCATAGTGATCCTCCTGTTTTCAAACTCCCCAGGGCTGGTATTACAGGCACGTGCCACCACGCCTGGTCTTGATGGCCGGCTCAGTGCCCCCGGGGGCAGAGCCGGCAATGCATGTGGTATGAAGGATCAAACCCTGCTGGTTGTGCCTGCCAGGCAGAAGCTTAGACCCTGGGCTGTCTCTCTGCCCCACTAATGCTCATATTTTAGAACTTCAAAATGCAGATTTTTTCCTAGGCAGAGTCACTCTTCCTGAGCCTGAGCTCACCCACAATCCTGTCTGTGCTGTTTCCGCAGCCCCTAACTCGTTCTGAACACTCCAAGGTGACGGTCTTGCTATTTCCAAATGCAGACTGCTGAACGGAGTCTCATTATGGAAGTATAAAACACTAGTTTGAGGGACACCAGTTGTGGGTACCAGAGAAGTTGTCTAGACAAAAACATGCGACTTCATACAATTTTCCATGACCTTTTAGTGGACCCAAGCAATGTTTTGAACCAATTTTACTCTAACAGCTTTTACTGTGACTGACATACAATACAGATTTCAATGTAGGTAAGACTGCCATTAATGTGCTAAATTCTTATAAGATTTTAGACATTCAAGGATTCATGTGAAGATAGTGCTCAAATATATTTCAATATACTGCCAAATAATCTAACATATAATATGGGAGAATTTAAGATTATTGTGTAAGGGAAAATTATTAAACTGAAAATCCTATCAAAGCTATTTTATTAAATGTCTCAATAAAACTTCAAAATATATGGTAAATCACTACCTATTTTGGTTTGATATATTTTTGTTTGTATGTATTTGTCAGTGCATATGCTAATTTCTCATGATTCTCACAAAGATATAAATTGCATTTCTCCATAAGCACCACCTAATGACTATAGAAAAGACCAAGAGAAAAGCGATACACTTGAGCATGTTTACCAGTCATATTTCATGTTGGATTTAATACCATTTTAGTTTCGAACATAAAGCAGCTGAGAGTTACATGAGCTGAGATGTTCTCCATGGTCACGCCTGACTCTGCTATATACAACCCTCCAACAAAATTTTTGCTGAACTCCCTAAAGAATCTCCGAGTAGAGTAAACCATCAACTGTATCATCCTCTTTTCCAGCAAAAATATTTTATAAAAGTTTTAATTTCTGGATTGATAAGATTTCAGATGCTTAAGTTCTTTGCCAATTTATGTTCTGGAGGTCATGGAAACTTTTACTTGTATGCCTTCTACAGATTTTCTCTTGGAAGTCTAGCGAGATAGAAAATGCAGTAGGAACAGCATGTGGACAAAAGTGTAAGGATATACTGGTAACACACAGACACATTTCATTTTTAGCCCAGGGGCCTTTTAAGTCATTAAATCTGGGGGGAAAATTGTAGAAATGAGGGAGGAAAAAGAAAAAAGGGCTCTCTTTGATCAAATAAGTTAAGATCTTTTTTGGAAATTGGCTTAAGAAGGTAAATACTGCAATAAACAATCTGATGTTTTCTATTTCATTTTTTAAAAATGTTCTGTATTTGATACAGGGTCTCACTATGCAGCGTAGACTCATAGTGATCCTCCTGTTTTTGCTTCTCCAGAGCTGAGATTACAGGTGTGCGCCACCACACCCAGTCTCAGTGGCCTGCTCAGTGTGCCTGGTCAGGGCCAGCACAGCATGTTGTACCAGGGATTGAACCAGGGTCCTTGCACTTGCCAGGCAGGTGCTTAGACTGCTGAGCTATCTCTCCAGTCCCATGTTTTGTATTTCCAAATTTCATTCCAGCACTTCTATTTGTTTTGATTTCTCTTGCTTTAGAAAATAGACATTCTTGGAATCATGAGGAATACAAAAATAAAAATTTGTATATGCCTAGAGTTATAGATAGAACTGTTTATTGAAGCCATGTGATGGATACCTGGGTTTGAGACACTAATCTCTACTTTTTGCACTTATTTGAAAGTTTTCATAATTTCAAAATGGTAAAGAGATTGTTGACAGATTATAAATTTGCTTATCAAAGCAAAAATCTTTATAATATGTACTAAACGGTGTACAATTAGTTTAGCTCTGTTGGCAAGGATTTCATGTTCTATTTCAAAGGATGATTATAAATGTATGTAGGACCATACACACACATGTCACTTTCAACAGATTTTGTTTTTTATGTATTTTCTACAGGGTCTTACTACACAGACCAGACTTGTAGTGATCCAGTTTCCCAAGGGCTGGGATTACAGGCGCACACCACTATGCCCAGTCTCATTTGCCATCTCAGCATGTCCTAGGGGCAGGAGAGTTTTTACTAATATGATGCCCATCCCAGTTTTATTTTCAGTAATAGGGATATTCTCATTTAAAAGCTCAAGCTAAATAATGAAAATTTAACCTGAGTTTTTTAACCCATCGTCTCAATTTTTTTTTTTTTTTTTTGTATTTTAGGGAAGGGTCTACAGGGTGTTCAGGGTCTCACTACTAGAACCGACTTGTAGTGATCCACCTGTTTACAGCCTCCCAAGCGCTGGGATTACAGGCGCGCGCCACCACGCCCAGTGTCAATTGCTGTCTCAGTGCGCCTCAGGGGCAGGGCCAGCATGGCAGGCCTGGAGGTCGAACCCCTGGCCTCTGCACCTGCTTGCATGTCTTAATCCGTTGAGCTATTTGGCCAGCCCTTCTCAGATTACTTCTAAACATAAAGGCCCTTTCAAGTTTAGTTGAATATGCTTAGGAAACAAGCTGATTTTATAGTTGGCATACAAAATATAATCAATAATTAGCATCTAATGAGCATTACATTAGGGGCCCTGCATTCTTCATGTGCTCTTTTCAACTTCATGGTCATAGTATGAGTAAGTTCCACTACCAGTGTTGATGGAAGCATGAGTAGGGAAGTTAAAAACTCAATGGTTCCTTTCAATAAACCAATAGAAGTTAGTGTAGCTATCTTAGCTATCTTGTTAATAATTAAAAAAAAAATTGACCAATTTGCGTGCTTATATCTGGTAATCTGAACAACTACTTTGAAGATAACAATATGCAACATTAATAACTGTTGATTGCCTAACATCTTGTTTTGAAATTCTGTATTTTTATTTTCTTTAAATTAAAAAAAATTTAAAAAAAGACAAAGATTTCCATATTAAAAAAACCAAAACTCCATGGTAAAATGGGTGGAGCCAGGACTTGGAGCCAAGCCCGTTTGAATACAAACCAGATTGATAGCAATTATACTGCAAGCATCAGTAGTTTCCAAAGGCTTACAAAAAAGAACTTCATCTATGGATCAGAAACATAGATGTAGGAAATCTGAGGGCGGGATTTGGTTATGGTTTTAGTGATATAGCTTCCATAGTTTTGATACAGCTCAGGGCAAGATGGTCCACATCTCCTTCCCAAGCGGCATTCCAAAAGCTCTCCTCCCAAGATGCAAACAGAGGCCTACACTTATCTTCTTTCTTCTGTTGGAGTCAGCACCACACAAGTTAGGGAAAAGTAACCAAAACTTAAAAGACAATGGTAAATTTCAGACAAGCAGAGTGTTAGGGGACATTGTCCCTCAGTGTTCTGACATTGCTGAGATAGCTTACCTTTATTACTTTTCCTACTGTTTTTAATGGCTATAGTACATTGAAGGCACATACTCCATGGCTAGTAGTTTGAACATAAACAAATATATTTGAATAATATCTTTAAAATATTTCAAATTTTTATTAAATATTTTATTCAGTTTTAAGATCACAGTTAAAGTACTTTAGCATGTTATACACATGACTTACATGTGCAATTTTTAGAAATTTCAAATTAGGTATAAGATTTTGAAGAAAATGATATAAATGTGTATACTGACTCTTACTACACATACATCTAAGAAAGCAATATTCTGTTGTACCATTAAGTGGAAATCATTTATTACATGGCATGTTACACCAACTCTAAAGAGAACCAAGCCAATTTCTGAAAGAAAAAAACAAAAAGAGCGATTCAGTCATGCTGAAACTGTCAACAGACTTGAGACTTCCTGGTGGTCAAATGAAACTATGGTTAACCTGTAACATTTTAGTAAGCAATTCAAACCTATGAGAAAAGTTCGTAATCTAGAGCGTGGAATCTCAGGTGGCTTTTTTGGGGGGACAAATTCCTGAGAGCAAGAGACTTGTTTATAGTGAAATGAAAAACGCTGTCAAGCAAGTTACTGAGCTCTGGAGGTCTCAAGCCTTCCCTACCCTCGGTTCCGCTGCTCTTTCAGCCGAGGCACTAATGTGAGGGGACTTGAGCCCACCCCTGGAGGGCCGCAAAGAGAATCAGTAATAGTTCATGAAGCATGCTTATCTCTGTGATTCAGGTTAGCGCTTGTGAGGTAAGATTTGCATTACAGGTGAAAGGGCTTAGAGGCATTTGATCAGATCCTTGTTACTCAGTAACCAGTTCTGGCCCAAGTTATCAGGAAATCTTTGGAAGGAGTAATGCTCAGGATAACTAGCTCTGTGTAGAAAAATCAGTTTCAGGGCATGATTGCTTTTGACCACTGACTGACAAAAAACAACAACAAAGAAAACCAGTGGCCACACAACTTTTAACTACAAGGTTCCATCTCTCAACTTAGTATAAATGACACCACCAGAGATAACATTTGACCAGAAAAGTAAAGTTTTTTTTTTTAAAAGAAATGTATACTTATATATTTGAAAGCATAATACAGACAAGTGGGGTTGTGTAAATCAAATGTATACGTCTTGTGATTCACTCTTGTTTTTCTTTGTTCTGAAATGTCTGAAGATAATGTCCCCCATGAAAAGGACAAAGCCATTTAATTTGGAGCATAATAACCTTGATCACTTCCAAATTAAAAGAAAAGCAGTCCGTCAAACCCTGAATACTTCACCAGAAACATCTGGTAAGATGAAATGAAAAACTGCCTCTTCTTTTCATTATACATATGCTGTTAGTAAATCTACATAAAGTAGTTTATAAAATCCCCAAAATCAAATACAACAAAATTCAAATCTAAATCTTTGGGAATGCTTGTATAGACAAAAGCAACATCTAATTAACAATTAGTACACTTCGTATAAGGTGCAAAACAAGGACCTATGTGGAGAAAAGCTAAATTGTAATTTCCACCTAGCAGTTACTCTGAATACTTTATAGGTCAGATGTAATAATAGCATTTGCTTCTACTGCCCATTTTTAGCAATACACTGTTCTCACTGGAGAAAGCAGTGTGTAAAGTCAAAACACTGCAGTGGAAAATAGTGGCACTAAAGTAGAAGCAAAAAAAAAAGACAAAGTTTTGAAACAGGACTTACTGAAATTAACCTTGAAAGCCGAGGTAGCCCATTGGGATTGGCCTCACACGAGGGCTCTGGGGGGCAGTGCAATCAAAGCAAATCTCCTCACCAGCATCCCCTATGCCCCCATATTCCCTCCACACGTGACAACTCCTGGCCTTCCCGATTTCCTGGTCTCCGAGGCCGCGGTGACAACGCTTCTCCTCGTGTGGATGCTGTCTTCCAGCCTCCAGCTGCTGGTCTTCGGAACACTTATGATTCATACAGTAGTTCAGCAGGCAGCATGGTTCCACTGCTTCACATTAATGTCAAATGCCAAGCTTGGAACAGAGCTATTTAGTATTCCCCAACCCACCCCAGCCCACCCTATAAACAAAACATGTCATTCACTTTTCAGCTAACTCCTGTCTGTAGCAATTTATAATTTGCTTGAGAGTTTACATAGGTGCAAACACTTCCATACAATGGCCAAATACTGCAGAGTACAAATATATATATATTTGCTATTATATATATATATATATATATATATATATATATATATTAGCATCTGACTTAGTAAGACAATGACAGGGATTGAAGATGTTGGAGTCTAAACAAGCATACCACTTCAGATGCACCTTTTTGTTCACAGTGTCCCATCACTATTTTCTCCTCCAGCAATTGTAAATGGCAGGAACTAGATGGGAATTATTTCAGCATGGCTTTGGGAACTCACATAACAGAATTGCAATGGTACAATTTATCCTTCAAAAACGTTCAGTCAATGAAGAGTTTTGGCCTAAATCTGGGAACTAACCTAATTTTGGGACATGAATCTGTATTTCCAATCCTGCTGTGGGCCATTTTTCCTTTTCCCAATATCATATACAGTACCCATACAAACAAAAACTTCAAGGATGTCTTACAGTAATTTTTTCTTTTCACTCAGCTTCTTAGAGCTGCAGTTTCAGTTACTATAATATACTCTACACGCTTCAAAATTACATAGGAAATTCTCAGAATAACTAAATAAATAAAAAAGGCTTAAAGAAAATTGGAACAATACTACATCTCCATCCGAGATGAAATCTTCCACTTCTAGCATTGCAGAGAAGGGCTAGGAGAATTTTTTCCAACAGATTTATATACAGGTTTGAATCCAGAAGTTAAGGTTAAAAGCATAAATATTGATAATTTCAACTAAATTCAGAATGGTTTTAGAAAGATATGATACAACAATTTAGAATAAAACAAAGCAGAAGAGCATCGTATTTTGGTTTGTTTGAGCTATACATAAGGTGCAACATTGTTCTCCAGGATGCCAGGGGACAAATGTTAGTGTGGATGATGTTTGCCTGGCAGATTAAAATACACAATATAGCAACAGGATTTTCCAAACTAAGAAAGAAAAATGAAATGAAAATGATCATTGGAGGAGTGCTATATATTGGTTTGAAGTACTTGTGCTAACAAATGTTACCTGAAAATACCAACACTCCCTTCTCCAGCAGATTCAGGGCACGAGAAGCACTACTACTGAAATAGACTTCACTCAGAGAAATGACAGGGCATGTGCCTAAAGAACTATAAAGCTTTGCAGGATTTCTGCTACTCTCAGTGCCTAACTGCTTAAAAATTAAGCATTTCTACAAAAAGGTTTGTTTTAAAGTATCTGAAAACAGTCTTATCCAGGAAGATGCCCTCCCACCCACACCCCTGCCTAAGGGAAAAGCCACTGAGGTTTAGGAAAAGCAGATCAAGTAAGATATTAATCACATAGAAAAAAGTAATTTTTTTGTTTTGCTTCTTTTTAAAAAAAGGTCCCATGAATATACAGCAATCTCATAAGGAACTCTAGTGAAATGTAATCGGAGGACTGAAGGAGGGCGCTCTGGCAAAAATAGGTCTATTCTAACGTGTTCTCTAGAGTAACAAGTTAGTACCATTGTCAAGATGCATGTTCTGCACCGCACAATTGTTGTTGTTGGTTCCTTGTTTCTGTTTTTTTTTTTTAAAAATTGTTAATTATCATTTTAAAATCACTGCTAGCAAGTGGTCCAAAACTCCAACAGCCACCAACATCAGGACCCAGCAACTTTTACACATTCACTTTGTTGTACTGCAATTTAGAAAATATTAATAAAACAGCATCATAGTAAAAGTACACTAAAATCTGGGGCTGTTCGCTTGGTTTATTTCTAAGCGAATGGGATTAAGTTGTAACCACTGATTAACCTTTTACTAGTTCCTACTTCCTCCATCCTCACAATGAGTATGCATTTTTGAGGACATCACTTTGCTGCCCTCTTTTACCTACTTTTGGGAAAACAAACAAACAAACAAAACCCATCTCTATTATTTTTCAATTGTGTTAGTATGTTGTACATATTTTCCAGCACCGAAACTGAAGTAATATCTACAACCGTGAGAAGCTAAACCTGGTCAGTATTAATAGAGTCAATTTTATATGGCTATTAGGTCAAATTACAATTAGAAAAAAATCATCATTACAATTCAGTCAAGTATAAATAAGAAAGCTAGATAAAACCATGTAAACTGTCACCATTTAGAGATCTAATTCAAAAGCGTCAAACTTGAGCTAGCACTATCAAAACTCTGCCAGTTTGAAAACCATTAAAAATTATTGCTGGAATCTAATAATTAAAATTTGGTAGTTTGTGCTGTGATGCAAGAGTGGGGAAACACTTTGTGCTATGGAACAAATACCCTGTAAAATCTGTAGCCTCAGACTAATTTTGATTTATCACTTTGCATCTGTTGCTAGGAAACAAGACACTGTGAACGTCAGGTGGTTTAAGTCAATATGTTGAATGTTCTAAGCCAGTTAATCCACTTGGCACGGGCATACGTATGGTTGATTTTATGTTTAAAAGCAACAAAACACAAAAAGGAAACAGAGCCTTGCAGGTGGCTCTACAGCTGAGAGCCCCACCTCAGGCATACCTCCCTCGTCATTTACTCTATACTTTCTACTCAACACAAACTCGAAATGGCTCTAAAAACCTACAGTACCAACGAGGCTGTGCATAGCAACTGCAACCCGTCCAGTCTGTCTGTGATGGATGTGAAGGGTCCACAGCTCCACGTCCACAAGAAGTGAGTGTCTTCCATGTGTTCAGAATAGTGAAGTAATACTAAGGTCACTTCTGAATAATATTTTTGTCTTTTTTGTATGAAGGATCCATTGGTCACTTAGACCACTGTGTAAAAATAAAAGAATCCTCAAGGCATGAAAGCATCAGTAATCTGTAATCTGCAGGACTCTTCCCTGTCTGGGAAAATATTTGCCACAATTTGCCCCAAGCAAATTCTTCTTGGTCACTCAAGGCTAAGAAAAAAAAAAAAAATTCAGGTTGTAAGAATTGTAAGTTTTCTCTCTTTCTGTCTCTCTCTCCTTTTGCCAGCAAACTACCACTGTGGTGGCAAATATAAAAGTGCAGAATAAATGGACCACGAGGCCGAGCATACACCACTAACAATGGTACATCCGCCTGCCCATGTTGCTTGAGAGTCTCTGGAGCAGGCTTCTTAATATTTAATCTACAATATAAATGTAGGTATAACCTATTATATAAACCATCTTAGAACTTAAATCTCCATGTACAAAAAAGACTAAGAATATCTAATAATAACTAGTGCAGTGCGTCAGGTTTTTTTGTTTTGTTTTGTTTGTTTTGTTTTGTTTTGAAAGAATAACTAGGCAATATATGAAACTAGTTCCCCACTCTCTGGTTGGTAAAAGAGACGTTGGATGAGCTACAGTAAAGGCAGTCTTTTACCAAGATACCACCGTTTACCGTCGAAAGCCTTCAATGGAAAGCAAAGCTCCAGACTCATTCTGTTTCTGCTCAGTATCAGAAAGAACACCACCCTCAAAGATTCTGGGTTCCAAAAGAACAGGCTGGCCCAGGATGCTCACATCTGCTTCAAGTGAATCTGGGCCACGCAGGGCAACAAGCACTTGTGTGCAGTCTGTATTTTCCACCATTTGGACTCACAGCATCCCTTGGTAAAGACAAGGCTAGGGTAGTAGGTAAAGCACAATGTTTTACACTTAAAGGGCGCTTCACTGGTCAGCGCAAGAAATAAGTACGGGAGCCTGCGGCATTTCTTTTGGCTGTCCGTCATGTGTGAGTGGAGTTGTTCTCTGACCTCTGTAAAAAAAGAGGGAAAAAAATCACTTAACAGGGTATATTAGGGATAGAAGATGATGACAAAAGCTTTCCAGTATCTCATTTAACAGTGATTGCTACATATGTTGTTTAACTGCACTGGATTTGTCCTTAGAATTTTTCCTAAGATTTCTTTTCAATTTAAATTTCCATCATATAGTTCAACACTCTTTGGCCCTGAACAACCAATCACCTTCAGTTTTAGAGACGAATTTTGAAGCAGTCACAGATTTGGGAAAACTTCCTAAGAAACAGAAAACTTTCAATCACGAACTAAGGTCCTGGGACAAGCATCTTTATTTGATCCATTTGAAAAAGCACATTTCTTTCCTTGCTTTGCCCAAAAAGAAAATTGCCCTACAACCATTGGTAATCCCGAGCCTACCTGCTTGGTTTCCTCCCCGACCCCTAACCCCTCTCATATTTGGTAACCAGGGATCGAACTTGGGACCTTGGGACTGCCAAGCAGGGACTTAAGCTGCTGAGCTACTCCCAGGTCCCCTAGCATTATTTCTTATCATACATATATAATGCATCCATTTTAAAATTTAAGGCCAACCAGGGGTGCTGTCTGTATCTATAGTCCTAGCTATTGGGGAAGCTGAGAAAAAGGCTTGCAATTTGGAAGCCAGCCCTGGCAAGTTAGCAAGATCCTGTTTCAAAATTTTAAAAATGGGGCACAAATATAGCTCAAAGGCAGAGCATTTGCTTAGCATGTGTGAGGTCTTAGGTTTAATCCCAGTACTGCAAAAAACCAGCCAACCAAGACCAAAACTGAAAACTACAGGTCAACAAAAGCAATGTCTCCTTTTGTCTGATTAGTAATAACTAATACAAATTTATTTCACATTTATGAGAAAACTGTTCAAAATTCCTGGCAGTTACTATAGAGACAGGCCGGGGCACCTCCCTGACATGTGGGTACTGAGCCTCACCAATGTGCACACAGTGCTCTGCCCCTGCACTAGTCTGCGGTATGGTTGTGTGGAAAAGAGGGGAAACAGCCGAAGTGTTTCACCGGTTTGGCCCTTCAATCAGTACTTTTTTCCAGAGCTCATAGAACAAAAGGGATTATTTAAAGATTCACGTAGTATCTGCCCCATAACTATACCCAAGAGTTTCTTGAGGTACAAAAAAAAAAAAAAAAAATAGATAGATTAATGGTCACTGAATGATGCAAGATACTTAGGATTCCAAAAAAGGTTAGAACCAAACCACTGGATTAATCTGTTCATTCATGTGTATCAGCTGCAAGTACCAACTGATCAACATTCATGAAAGATGGAATGATAATGTTATTTTATACTTTTAAGATTATTTGATGTTAAAAGAGCCAAAATAATTTAATAAGTTTAACAAAGAAAAAAAGTAAAAAGTGAAAAGCATACTGTAAAAGACAAAACAAGAGGTGGACAGAAATTAGGGTAAAAATCCAGCTTCAAAATGGGTGTGTCTAGTCCCAGAGGAAGGTGGATGAGGTTCTTCATGACCTGTATTGCTAGTACTTGCTCAGGACCAAGTTCAAAGACCTCAGTTCAAACCCTGCCTCAGGCTAAGATTAGCTGTCTGCTCTCACAACTTAATTAATCATCTGCTCTATCATTTACACAGGATTAAGAAGACCCACCTGCAAGAGCTAAAGGATTATACTTAATGAACTTTCTTAAAAACTTCTAGTAAATAAAGATCCTCAAGGGCCAGGGAGATGGCTCAGTGGAATAAGCGCTTCCCTGGCAAGCGCAAGGGCCTGAGTTCAATCCCCGGTTCCGCAAATAAATAAATAAATAAATAAAGATCCTCTAAGAAAGATTTGTTCCAACTTCCCATTTCCTGCATTTGTAAAACTGTCTCCAGAATCTCAGCATAGGTTTAGATTAGATCTTATGTTAGCTTTTCCAAATACATCACTTGTCCTCTTGTACTTACTCTTAATTCCACAGGGCACCCTCTAAATCATGAACCTAGGTGATGTTCACATAATAACTAAGTGGGGTATAACTGCGTGAAACCTGGTAGGTCTGTTTTAATAAGGGCTACATTCACAATGAAAGCTCCCTGAAGTGATCTATAGTAAAGACATTAAAAACACTAACCACTTGTTAGGTTGATGGTAAAATTCTAGTATTCAATATTATCTTTCCAATGGGAAGAAAGGAATCCTTATGCACATCAGTTTTACTATGCCTGTGACCTAACTCAGGTAGACATACTTCAAGAATGGTCTCACTGCTTCATTTACTTCACTGGTTCTTCTGTTGCTGTTACATCTTACCCGCTGATGTAACAGGCAGCTTTCTGTAAGAAAGCTGGGATCTGAAGAACAAAACCAGCGCTTTACTTTTAAAATAAACAGGAAGGAGACAGGCACATGAAGAAATAACCACCACCCAGTGTGGCCGCTGGTCTTGGGAAGTAAGTCCACACAAGTTGGGCAGCAGGAGGCACACACCAAGAGAAGAGGACCAGGCTTAGAGCAGGGAGGAGCAGCAGCGGTTCAGTGAGAAGATGAAGCACAAAGGCAAGAGCTTGGTCTGGAGAGGACTGCAGTGCTGGCGTGGGCCTGAGGGTGAGGGAGTGTGATGGGCAGCAGGCAAGGCACGGGCAGGAGCCCAGTAAGGTGCTTACTGGAGGGAAGATGTGACAGCAGTCATGTTTAGAGTGCCAGTGGGCAATGACAGTGACTACGTGGTGTGGTGGCCTTTTCAGAGCCTGTCCTATGATCCTCTGAATTCTTATGCTACCTCTTCTTTGCACAATTCACAGTAACATTCAAGGAACTACTCCCAATTATCTTTCCAGGTGTTTGTTTTCTATATGCTATTATAAAATACTCCCCAAGAGAAGTACTATCTTCCTCAGAGACCAGCAGACTTTAACAATCTCTGTTAGCATTCACTTGTTAATAACAGGGCCTTGCAGGGTACCTCTGAGGAAGAATTTGACTTCTTGGGATATCTAGAGGGATCTGTGGGGAAGCACTGGGAGTAAACAAAGCTCTCACGGAGGCCTCTAGGTTCTCTGGGATGCCAAGGAGGAGCAGAAGCCCTCCAGGCCGCTGCCTGAGTTGAACAAGGTTTCAAGGGCTTTTATAGGAGAAGGGAAGTCTAACAGAGGAACTCACTCACAGGGCAACCCACTTTGAATAAAGTAGAAAACACCCCAATTTACAAATGGCCCTTCTTGCTTCCCAGAGATTCCATTATACAGCAGAACATCCAATTATACACTTAGAACTTAATATACTTTCTGTAGGGTGTCATTGAGCTCAAGGGTTTTCCAATTATGATCTCATCTGATCCTTACAACTTTGTAATTTTTTAAAGGAATCGCATGATGCTTAATGGAAGATGAGAAAACAGAGGTGCAGAGCAATACATCACTTTGTAACAAATCACAGAGAGTTGAAACACAAAATCTAGGCCTGCTGCCTGCCATGAATCAGATGCCGGGAAACTTCTTCGCCTGCACCACACTGTTCTGACAGCTGGTACCGCCCTGCCACTGGCACCAGCCTCGGTTGGGGGCGTCCCCCACGTGTGAGCACGGGGCTGTCAGTCACCCCCATGCCATCTCTATGAAATGCGTGCCACCTACTTGTTTTTATAAATGAAAAAGCTGAGGTAAGGTACAGAAGTTAATGATATGCTTAAGATATTTGATTTTCAGCTAACTGATCTAGGAGTAAGCCCATTTCTGATATTACACTTAACAGTCGGAGAATGCTACCTTCTTACTGTCACGTTTTTTAAAGAATGCAAATTAAGATTATATTTTATATAATCTTTTATATAATCTTTGTTTTATATTAAGATAATATTTTCAAAAATAAGACTTAGTTGGCTCCATTTCCTTAAAATTTCCCACACTGTTCACCAGCACTTAAACTTTTCTAACATCTCATATAAATAATAATCTTGAGCAAAGTCTGAACCTCAATACATTAAGCACAATGCCAAAAGTCACGTCAGAAGGATGGCTATGCTTTCTATGTTGCCTTCCGCGCCCAGGCTCTGCCACTGACCTGCGCACATTTTCCATGGCTGCCACCTCGGCCAGTGCAGCGAGGCTAAAGAACGCAGACACAGCAGGCATTTCGGGAGTGCTGCTCCGCCTCGCCTCCACCTCCGCGGTGCGCGCACACTCATCACTGCAGGCTGCCTCGCGCGCTCCAGGGAGGCTCCGCGGCAGTTGCTCCTTTGGTTTGTCATCTTGAACAGAAGAGAAATCCATCACCAGAGGATCACTCTGCTTTCCAGGGAAGGAATGCTGAGAAAACCCTAGGTTAGACAATGTGAAAAGAGCTAGCATTCTTTACCGTGCTTTCTGCTACCCAGCAAATACTAAGGCTTTCACAAAAGTCTTCTTCTATAATAGCGAAGCATTTCTATTAAGCTTGATTGTAACTCACAACTACGGTCAGCACTGTGCTTGGAGCGGAGCCACGGAGAAGCTGCGTGTTATCCCAGGTCAAAGAAAGGCTAGTCTTGAGGGAAGAAGCAATAACGATCCCTGGCCAAAATACAGCCCAAGGTACTTTCTGCAGGTGTGCCCTGCCAAACCCAAGTGACATTCCTCATGAATCTTTATGAAGCTGTCGCAGGCGCTAACGTAGCAAATGGATATTTTGTATTCTGTGATACAAACACGTAGGATGGACTGGTTGTCAGATTAACCAAGCCTAATACAATCCCATGTTGTTTTGTTCTGAAGATCTACTTGGCAAGAAGACAAACGGGTCTCTGGTATTTGTGAACAGGTGAATGAAATGCTTTACACTTTTTTTTTTTTCAGAACCGGGGATTGAACTCAGGCCCTTGCGCTTGCCAGGGAAGCGCTTATTCCACTGAGCCATCTCCCTGGCCCCTTGAAATGCTATATAAATATACCTGCTGGAAATGACAATGCTTTCTTTGTTATTCAGACATGAAGTGAAGGGAGAATTCTTATTATGGGTTTCAAATTTTTTTATTTATTATTTTTAAATTTTATTTTAAACAGTAAAAACAAAAACAAAAGCAAAAACAAATAGCAAAAACAAAGACAGAAACAGCGTAACATACAATACATATGGTACAGAATTTCAAAACAAGAATAGAAAATTAACAATGGTTGCTATATTACGTATTTTTACCCTGTATCTGTTAACCTGAGCAACAGATCTGATGATAAAAATACGTAATTAAAATATTTTAAATATAGAAAACAAGTGATAAAAGATGTGAATGTCATATATTGGGACATAAAAGTGGCACGTGCTTTTCTACATAAAATGATTATTTTCTAGCATATTTAATTCTTGCTGCCAGTGGAAATGAATGAGAATATAAATGAACAAGGATATGACAATCTACAAAATAAAAGTCACCAAACAGAATCCAGATTGGAAAGGAAAGGAGGGAGAGGCCTGTTGAATTGAATTAAGCAAAAGGACATCAAGATTTGAGTTCTCATTCTACTTCTATGTAGTTGAATTGTATCCAGACACAAAATTCCTCTTCTTTTGAGTTTCATCTCTTACATAATGGTACAATTCAGGATCTTTAATATGCTTTACGGTTTTAGCTATATATGCAAAGTATAAGAAAAAGTACACAAAATTAATTTTCTTCTAATTCTAACTTGGCAAACAACCCATGTCCTGTGAACACCTGAATTAACCCCTACCACATAATGTTAAATGCTGGAGGTGCTGATAGGTAACAGCTAGAGCTCGTCACCCCAAAATGCTTTTGTGGGGAGTGTTTAGTATCCCTCATTGCCTTATCTCTTACACAGGACTCTTAGGGAAATTCCGTCATGAAGAAAGCCCACCGGAAATAACAAGCAGGCTACTCACGCCATACTATTTGGTTACATTAGAGCGGAGAACTCACGAATCCAGACAGTCATGAGGTCCCACGGTAGCAGTCCACATCTGCTTTGCAAAAAGTGCTGGATGCACTTGAAGGTTCCTTAATCCACTGCTCCCAACACCTGATAATCTAGTTTATAATGGCATGAATAGCAAACCACGGAGTAACAGATTTATCAAGTATCTTTAAAAGTCTGGGCTCTTCTAGAAATTTACTTAAGACTATTTTGTGCAGAGAAAAAGAAGCTGAGGACTCTAAAATTATCTTTCCTTTCTAGAAAGTCAGATATGCTCTTGAAAAAATATCTATGATTTTAAAACATGGCATACCCCATGTTTGGAAGTCTCTAGAAAGCTACAGAACAGACCCATTGTTGAATAAGGAACAAAGCTTGTAATCATTCACTGGTCAAATGGTCATCTCTGCCGAAAGCTCCCTCTTCTTACCCAAAGTACCTCCTGCTGGTGATACCCGGCCATCCGCTGTTCTGACAAGGTGCGTGATCTTGGTTTTCCTTGCTTTTCTCTTTTGGCTGCCCACCAGAGGTTCTTGCATTGTTGGTTCTGGAGTGTTGGGAATGGATAGGGCATTTTTAACCTTATAAGCAGGCTCTGTGGTGTTTTTGTCTTCAGAAAATATGGCTGAAACAGGACAAACCACATATCATTACACACAAAAATACAAGCACCAACATTGCTTTTGAAAGAAGACATTTCTATAGAACCCATGTGACTGGATGACTGACATACAGAATTTTCAAAATGTTGACAGAAATATGAAATGAAATGTTCCCGTAATTTGCTAACTACTTATCTGTATTGCTTTGGTAACTTATATGCAGAGGATTAATACTTTCTCTCTTTCAATACTCCTTAAGTCTTCAGACACTGTGGATTGGTAGGGAGGATGATGAGCACAAATCTGAGAGAGCTATGATACACACTAACAGACCATGAGTCCTGCCTGCAACCAGGGTACCGGTCTAAGAACTTTCTGGCTAGTGAATCTGGATTAAGATGGTATAAGAAGTTTTGTTTCTTCTAGAACAATAAGATTAAACACTGCTTCTAAATTTATATCGATTCCAGGGACATCTGCTTGCCAGCACCAGGTTGGACTGATCAGAAAGGAAATCATGGGGTCTGACCTCCTTTTACGCTTTATGACTGCTCAAAAAAGACAGGCCAGACATTGGGGAAATCAACACACACACGAGACGCTCCCATTCACTGAACGCCAGGCCAAGGCAACGTACTTTGTGAGATAGCTTAATGAAGTTTTACATACTGGTATGGCTCACAGATAAAGTAGTTCTACCTAGTCTAGCTGTAAAACCAACCAATTAGTTAACAGCATACTTTTGTTTGATACAGGGGTTTGCTATGCTGTGTAGTGCAGTTGGACCATGAACTCATGGCACTCCTCTGGCCTTAGCCTCCTGAGTGCTGTACACTCTTGCAGGTGTGCACCACTATACCTGGCTATTGGCACAAACTTTTATCCTGAATTACTTCATCAAGAGTAAGAAACTAAAAAAAAAAAAAAAAAAGGTGGGGGCCGGGGAGATAGCTCAGTAGAATAAGCACTTGCCTAGCAAGCACAAGGGCCTGAGTTCAATCCCTGATTCCACCAAAAAAGAAAAAGAAAAAAGAAACTTGCCATGATTAGTTTTATATCTGGTTTAAATATAGTGGGAATGTCTGTGTCTTATTTCCTTAGGACTTCATCCTCCTACCAATTTAATTTAAAAGAAAATTGGGCCAGCAAGATAGCTTAGTAGACTAAGCCACCTGCTTTGGCAAGCGCAGGGACCAGGGTTTGATCCCCAGTCCTGCATGCCATGCCAACCCTGCCCCCAGGACACGCTGAGCCAGCAACCGAGTCTGGGTATGGCACAGCATGCCTATAATCTCAGTGCTGGGGAGGTTGAAAACAGGAGGAGCATTATGAGTCTGAGCTGCATAGTGAGACCCTGTACCAAATACATAAATGGGAAAAAAAAGAAAATTATATGGGTATGAGTGTAATACACATTTATGAGAATATACATGTAGTCAGTTTTCATGATTGAAACTGCCCTCCCCCAAGTGGCTAGAGGGTTTTAGGCAGGGAAAAGAAACATTTTTTTATGTTTTTAAAAATCTCTTTGGACAGGCATGGAAATCATTCTTGACAAATAAGAGGGATATGTAGATTGGAAAATCAAAGTCTGACAAACTCCAAGCACACTAAACCTGAAGGAAAACTGAAGATACTGGTCTCAAGGTGGATCTGGAGGCAGACACTGGCTATACATACAGAGCTAAAACAAGAGGGAGTAAAAACAGAGCAACTACAGGTGTGAAAAATACAGTGTTTGGAGTATGTACTTCTGTAAACCTCACTTGAAAATTTTAATCTCTCTGCTGGGTTTCGGTATATACACAGGAAAGAAGGGCTGTGAATTAATATTTTGTTCTGGAAGTCATGGCACCTTGTTGTGGAACGATGCCTAGAAAGAAAAGGCTGGTCGCAGCCTTTACCCCCTAAAACACATGGGAAATAATGTCAATTTTATAAAAAGGAGGTATGGAAAACAGAAATCATACCATGATTTGTGGCTTAGTGTTATCTCAGTATTGTACAATAGATGGCTGTGTAGAGACAGACTTAAGATAATAATTATTTAGAAAAAACTTAAACTATTTGGCTATGTGTCCAAATACCATTTTCAAGTAAGTAATCAAAATCAGGAAAAGGGCTTGCTTTAAGTTACAGATTTATATCCAGGTCAGAAAGATCTACCACACGATGAAGTAATTTTGGTTATGTCATTTACTTAGTCTTACATTTACTCTTTGATATTTAGCTTAACACAGGCCAAGAGATAACACATATTAAGATTTTTAAAATTTGAAATTCAATCAAAGCTTCAAGCAAAATAAAAGACAATTTGGTTATGAACATTCCAAAGAAGTTTCATGACTCTACATTAGCCTTAAAATTCAAAGTGTCCTATGAACATAAAGATGTCAAAATCTGAATTTATGATGAACATTTTATTGCATATTCAGAAGCTTTGACATTTCTAGTTTCTTTTCCAGATCAAACAGTTGTCTCCTGTGATCACAGAGGCAGTCTTGCTCAGCTCCTGAGTATGATTACTGTTCACACCACAGATCTCTGTTCCAAAAAGAGTATTAGCTTTTCCTCTTTTCTGCCTTCTCTTTCCAGAAAAATCCATGACTGTGGAAGAAAGGTATAGCAGGGTTCTGAAGCTGAAGAGAACTACATCAGAAAAATGGTTTTATAGAAAAAAACAGACAAGAAAGTAAAAGAAAGACATGAATACCAGGAAGGGCAAACAAAACATTGGGGACGATGACTGAGTCTATGCAGCGACTATGGGAAGAGAAAAGCGCAGCCACGCAGAATGAAGTTCCACTCTTAACTTTGTAATTTATTAACTTTAGGACTACAGGTCTCAGTTTCTTCATGCAAAAATGGAGATTGAAATAATTAGTTCTAAGGTACCACTCAGCCCCAAAACAAGGCAGGTTGGCCACAGGGTCAATCCTCCTGGCCTGGGAAAAAGCAAGCCTCCAGTCAGGAGGGAACATTATTCCTTTAACTATCATGGTGTTTGTTTTGTTTTAACTGGTGAGCTTTCAAATAGTTTCATATCTATTCAATGTTTGTTCCTTTTCTAGTTTCTTCCTGATGCAAAGGCAGCCTGGGACTTAGGAAAACCCAGAAATCAGCAGATAAGGAGCCAGGTGGTCAAAGATCAGGTGGCAGGGCGAAAGATAAAAATACAACCAAGCCAAAGACACCTGTATGTTGGGACTCAGGAGAAGATAGAATCAGGATACAGGTCACATGGAAGATACAAAAAGAATACACTAGAATTACTAATGAGTCATCTCTAGTGAGGTGATGTCACTTATCCAGAAGGTTCCTCTAAACTATTATGATTCATATTTGAAAAAGGTACCAAAAGTAAGAAATATGGCCCTGCTCCATGCTTTGACCCAGAAGTCAATCCCTGCACTTTATGGTCTTATTAGCTGGCTTAGAACAGTTGTTGGGGTCAGTCCAAGGAGAAACCTAAAACTAAGAACTGGGCTAGGCTTGTAAGACTGATTTATCTTGTGGGAAAGAAGCCTGTGACAAAGCACAAGGTCTGAGCTGAATGACAATGCCAAAGCAAAGGGAAGGCCAGGTGGTGTGAGAAGATAGGAGATGCAAAACCTCTCCCTTACCCCATGGAAATGTGAGAAAAGTTTTCTCATCCAAGAAATTAGCCATTTCTCTTTTGGCTTTACATCAAACACACAAAACTACTCAAGCACTATGGACGGAGCCCACAGGGCTACTTCCTACATTCAACAATCGCCATACCACACTTGGAGCACATCATCGGAGGGTGATAATGTGTGCTCACTTCTGGATCTACATTAGGAATGTGGCAATAAGAGACTTTGCTGTTTTCCAAACTCTACCCCCAAACATGGAGTAAATTTTGCAGGGGGACGCAGCGGTGCACTCAGAATGTACCCTGGAATGCCACTAGAATTATGACTTCACTTTTCAATGGGGGGGGGGTGGTGGTGGTGTTCAAATGTGCAATGAAACTGTGACAGCCAGATCTGAAATCCCATGGCCTTTGGTTGATCTCTCCTGAGCTAAAACAGCCAGCAGTCAGATGCTAAAAGGAACAAAGAGCAACGAATCAAAATCAGCCTTATCTATGGGCCTGGGAGATTTTGCTGATGATACATAGCAAATATTTCAAACTTGAGATGAGATCAAGTTAGACTGGACACTGGATGCTTGAAAATTAAACATATAAACAAGTCTCCCAGTAAACCTCATCACATTTACATACTGAAACAAACAAAAACTATCTAATGAAGATGCCTAGTATGAGGCTTTTAGCTTTTTTGGGGGTAAGATACCATATATATTTTCAACATTTAAACCAAATGAAAGCTAAAAGTCTATAAACATTCCTGCGACATTTGAAAACTGTATCGGCTAAAGAGATTCAGTGGTGAGAATTCTGTTTTCTTCCCTTTTGCTTATATTGATCACACTTCAATTTCTGTGTGTTGGAGGTTAGTAACTGCTCCTTAATTCAATGGGGCTGATAGTAGAATGAAATTAAAATATACAAACAAATATGCATATATATGAAAGTCCCTGTAAATTATAAAATAATACTAAATATTATCATGTCATCATCATTAAAATGTGATCAGAAATACCTAGCTTAAACATGAGCAAATTATACTATATCATATGTCTCAGCTTAGCAGAAAAAGTTTTACCTTTAATACTAGGCCACAGGGAATGGAAGTGTTTTACCAGTTTGAATTTTGAAAACATAGAGAACAATACTTGAAACAAATTAAAAGCTTCAAATTTAAGCTTCAGGTATATTGCTAAGCATCTACAGACCTCTGGTATTTTTGCAGACAAGAAATGCAAGGGCATTCATAGACAGGATGCTATAGGGGAGGCAGAGTGAGCTTTAAATCACCCACTTTAACAGAAGTAGAAATAGCTGCACAGTCTTGATTTAATCAACATTTCTATTACCAACGCTAGCTACAAACAATTCCTATCTAACCTTTGTGAAGGATAGCTCATACGTGTTATTCTGTATTATGTTTCATTTTCTGTCCTTGTGTATTTATACTCTCAGCAAAGTTGTCATAAACAGTGAGATGGCCATGGGTGACAAGGAGGACATAGAGGGTGGCCTAGAAAGTTCACTGCGCATACAGTTCCCACCTGAATAGGCAAATGCTGGGGATCGTATGAAAATAAATAAAGAAGGTCACTTACTAGTAATTTTTTGATAATCATATTGATTCCTTTTTATCCTGGCCACATAAAATGAGTTTATACTCTATAAATAAAAGCCATGCATTTTTCAGTACATCTTCTGCAAAGTCTTTTTCCAGATATATTAATAACATTTATAACTAAACATCACCAATAATAATTCCATTTCTATTCAACTTTTAGGACTACTTCTAAGATGCAAACTTGATTTACCTTTCTTTCGTCGAAAGGCAGAGAACTAGGGCTGCAGAATATGGTGTTCCTAATAGTATATAACCCACTCAAGTTACCACAGTAACAAGAACACTGAGTGCTGGAGGGGAAATGGAATTTTCAATTTATGTATTGCTGCAGCTCATCATTCAATCCCTGCACAAATGAGCCACACACGCACTTATCATAAATGTGGAGAGTAAATCCTGGGCAGGTTAAACAACTTATTCTACTGAAAAATGCTAATTAGCGGTGGATCCGAGAGCCCAGGTCTCCTAATTTGTAGGCAAGTGCTCTTTCTATCACACCGTGTATGTTCTGGCTTCAGTGATTAAAAACCAAAAAGTATTTAGAGTGGCATCATTTCAAGTAGGGGATGTGGTCTTAAGTACCTTTAGATTTCTCTGGCAGTTCATCAGTTATGGAACCTGTGCAGAATGTGTTTGTAAAATACACAAGTGCTAATATTTCAATTTGGAAGTGTTAGGATTTAATGTTGGGAACACCACAATTTAAATTTTCTGTTTTCCTGTGCTTACGAAGAAATAACATGCCACAGAGGCTGTGAATGTGAAATAGCAGGTTGGAAAACAGACATATTCTTAGCATTTTCTGTAAAAGTAAAAAAAAAAAATACTGCTGGCATTTTCTGTAAAAATAAGACCATGTAAATGTAGATATAGCTGATATGAACTGTGTCACATGTGATTAATACTAATTTAAAACTTTTTGAAACTATCTTAAAATATATTTCCAATAAGTAACTGAGACCAAATATATATATTTTCTCTTCCTTTCCAGTTAGGAAACAAAGAGTACATTTTGGAGACAAGAGATGTAGAACTGGTCATTAATTTTTCTTTCTGGGTATAACTAAATCAAGGGGGTCCACACTGATGAATGCTACTATTCCTTTCAGTTTCCAAATGAAGTACCTTCCAATGAAGCACTATGAAAATGTTCAGGTCTTTTAAGATATCTATAGTGAAAAAGAATAGAACAATGGCAAGAAAGGAAGGAAGGCCCCTTAACAATCAGAGACAGTAGCACTCACTATGGTTACATAGAGCACAAATAAATACAACTGGTTAATAGTGGATTTTCCTTTTGCTGTACATATCCCTGCCGGCAGATCAGCAGGCCTCTGTGTGCCCGCTCCGACTCCACACATGGCATTGTCTGCGTGGAGCAATGCAGCTGTGGTGCTGACACATTTGGTTATGATGAGCTTGGCTCGATCAGTAATGTGATGCAAGGGTCCAGAGCCTTTAAGAACTTAAACACCATGTGGCCCTCCGTCTCACCTATGGCAGGAGTCCTCAAAACACTAGATTTGATTCAACCAAAAATATCTGATTATGAACAACTTTTGCCTTTTATACACAAAACATATATTGCTTCTTTTTACCTTCTGTAGGGTGAATGGCATCCAAGAACAGTTGCTTGTTTGACCATTTATCCCCACTTCCTAAAAATAATGACAGAAAGGAAAGTAAGACTCTGTATACATAAAAACAACAGAACATACAAAATGACTTAACTGTGAAACTTCACATCAATGAAACAATTTTATTTCAATTACTTTATTCTCAAAATTCCATTTGCCAACCAAAGTAATGATGCTGTACAGGAAATAGATAAAAATAAATGTTTGCTTTTTATGAAATATACTGTCAGGATAATTTCTGTGATTTTAGTCAAGATAATTTGTCTTTGAGACATGGGTTCACTATGCAGTTCAGGCTGGCCTTGAACTCACTTTGTAACCCAGGCTGCCTCAAACTTGCAGTGATCCTCCTGCCTCGGCCTCCCTGTGTCAGGATTACAGGTGTGTACCACCATGCATGGCTTTAGTCAAGGTAGTCTGAAGATCAGTAAAAGGCAAATGAACAAAGTGAACATTCTACCTAAAGAATAATGGTTCTTTACTACAAATACTGGAAAAATAATATCAACCTATTAAAAAAGAAGCTAAAGCAGAGGTGAAGGTGCAAATTAAAGGCTACAAATAGGAGCACATGGGCACACACACCTACCTAAGCAGGCAGTTACATTTAAAGCCTCACTCAAGAAAAACGAACTGCTTTATATCTCGCCATGCAGGCAGGGTGCCACCGGGCATCACATGAGTAGGCTTGTGGTAGTCACGACACTGACATGCAAGGAGACTCTCAAGTCGGCTCAAGCTCCACGGCACAGGGCTACACGGGCAAGCTTCCTCTTGTATGTGAAAGCAAAGAGCCCTGAACTATGAGCAGCAAGAGATCCTACGATGAACCCCAAAGAGGTTTGAGGCCCCATTAAGATCATCACAATGAAAGATGCCCAGAGTGAAGGAGGGGTAGAGCGCCCTTCTGATTCTAATGCTGAAAATACCAGTGATGTGGCGGGAGGAAGCAGGCAGAAGAGTCCAACTAACAGAGGTACACAGATGGGTGAAAACAGGTGAGTTCGACCGAGTAGGGCAACATCTGTAAGAATCCACAAGTATCAAAGAAAGTACAGAAATATTGGGACTTTCACATGAAAATGGAACTGGTACGAATTCAGGAAGTAGAAAAATGTAGCCATCATATGAAAGGCTGCAAAATATAAGAAAAACAAGAGCAGGCAAAGAAAATAAAGGCAAAAAGGTCCAGAAGATTAAAATACAAAATGTATGAAAACATAGATGAGAGGAAGCCATTATGGGACTCCTATGGAACTCTGAGCATGTGTGGGCCTGAGCAGGAATCCATGGGAAAGGGATGTGCAGTCAGCCGCAGAGTCCACAAAGGATGGACGTGCTCACATGAGGAGCCGAGGGCACGAAGCAGGCACAGGCGGGGCAAGACAGGCAGTGCGCGGAAGCATCACTCAAAGACTAGTTCGCAATGGAGGCGACCAAGAAGCCTGAATGGCGGATGGAAGGCACTGATACCTTTTTCTGGAGCATTAGGCTTCTCCTTTTTGTGCTTATATTTGCTGACAATTTTGTGGAATAAGTTCTTTTTCTGAGACTGGAAAGGACCTACAGACAATATTAATATAAGTATTTTAAATTTCTGATGTTTTCCAAAATAATGTGTTTTTAAGCAATTATACCCTCCCCCCTCCCGTGGAATAAGCAAATATTGAACTGCATCCTGGTGCTTTACCCCATTCTTTAAGTTATTTTAAGCCCAAGAAGATTCTCCTTGGAAAATGCTGGGTAGAAGCCTTCACAGGGACTGGGACTACTCAGGCAGAAACTGCAGTTTTAGTGAATAAAAACAGACTGCAACCAATGATGGCAGAGTGGCAACTGCCTGGCACAGGCAAAAGGTTTCACTTTACACTCCTAATATCATGAAGCAATGGATGGCAGTGTGCACGTCATCGCTTCTACAATTGTGACTTTCACAGTAAGAACAGCACTTTCAGGATAACGGCTGACCTGACAGCATAGGTGTCTGAGGCGATCACTGGTAGATAAAAGTGATTTTTAAAACAAAAATAGTTGTTAAAAAACATTTTTCTGGATAGGAGAGGGAGACATTTCAGATTCTATCTCACTTATCTTGAGATAAACACAGACAGGGGTTTCTCAGTTTAAGAGAAATACCCACAGTAGTGTTTACCTCCCCAAGCAGGCTGCTTCCTACATGGTGTGGATATTCCTATGTGAATAATGTTAAACCGGAAAGTGTTTCCTCCTGTGTAAATGGGGATCCCTGCAGTGCCTCACTCACAGCGCTGGTGCAGCAATTCAAAGTCAGACACAGCACCTGGGCCCTGCCACATCTCCCGCCCACCACCCTCAGCACTACCATCTGCCTGTGGCAATGAGCTGCCCCTAGCCTCCCTCTAGTGAGCTGTTCCATCCATGCTACAAACATTTCTCCCAAATTCAAGGAGAAGACTTCTGTTCAGACTTCCCTCTTGTCAGTCACTGGCCCAATATTTTTGTTTCTTGCTACAGCAACTCTCCTTTCAAAGGCTGCCTATCCCCGCTGTGCATAGTTTCTTTCCTTCCACCCAACCACCCAAGAAAACCTGCCCTTCTGATCAGACCCGAGGCTGGCAGGCCAGAGCTTGAGCCCTCCCCTGCTGGGCCGCACCACAGCTTCTGACAGCACTGTCTGCTTTGACCACACCTTTTATCTCGAAGGCTTCCTTCACTGGGACTGTAGAAGGTCCCAGTGGTTCTTCTCTTCCTTTGCTGATCTTTCCCTCTGTCTCCTTCCCAGATGTCTTAAATTTGTACTGCTCTGGACTCAGTGGCTGGCCTTTTGTTCACTCCTCTGGTGATAACACCTAATTGCAAGGCTTAAATAACAGCTGTAAATCATGGCTCCAACTTCATCACATCATCCAGACCCTTCTAGGCCAGATTTGAAAGGACAGCAAAATAAAAGACAGATAATATAGGTGACGGGGAGCTAGACCTTTTGCAAAAAGGTACCAAGAGATGGGGCTGATAAAAAGAATTAAGATGCTTTAAAAAAAAAAGACGCTTTACAGACCTGTTTCTACTCCTCCCAATGAATGTAATCATGTACTACAAACATACTAATAAAAAATCATTAAGAAAAGCCAAGCCAGTAAACCCCTAGTATCTTACAAGGGCCCCTGTGATTCAGCCCCATTATGGCTGAACTTCCTTTCCCTCCTCACTTCTCTAGCTGCTCTGGCCCCAGGCTGTGCCCAGCGCCTCCCACCTTGCTCTGGCTTCAGGACCTGTGTCCACTGCGCCCTCTGCAGTGTTCTTCCCATCTCCTAAGAGCTTCAGGCGCCGCTCCTCCAAGGCTGTCCGCAAGTGTCTCCAGAGCACTCTATAGAGTTGCAGCTCAGCCCAATCCTATCTCTTGTGATAGAATCTCTTACAACCTATTATTTTAACTGATTAGAAAGTTTTTATATTCAGGGATATTGGCAACAATCTCTGATTTTTAGAACATTTCATCACCTCAGGAACACATCCCACATCTCTTAGTTATTACCAGTACTATACCGGCTGCATTCCTCCTGTCCCCAAGCAACCACTAATCCACTTTTTATCTCCATAGAAATCTGTATGTCCCATTAAGGATATTTTATACAAATGGAATCACATAAGTGGTTTCTGACTTTTTTGGTTGAACATGTTTTCAAGGCCTATCCATGCTGTGAAGGATACAGCATGTTGAAAAATATTTCATGATAAGGATGTAACACATTTTGTTTATCCACTCAGCAGCTGATGGACATTTGGACTGTTTCCACCTTTTGGCTATTATGAATAATGCTTTTATGAACATTCAAAGACAGGCTTTTGTGTGGATGTATATGTTTCTCTGAAGCATATGGTACCTCTTATGTTTCACCTTTTGAAGAATAATTAAACTACTTAATGAAGCAGCACCATTTATAGTCTTACTATAAGGGTTTCAATTTCTCTCCAACATCTGCCACTATCTCTTTGGTTATCACCATTTTAAGGATATGAAGTTGTGTCATTCTCACTGGAGTTTTGATCTGCATTTCTCTGACAGCCAACGCTGTCAGTCATCTTTTTAATATACTTATTGGCTTTTTGTGTATCTTCTTTGGAAAAAATGCTTACTGAGATCATGTGTGTATTTTTAGTTTTTTTTAACTAATGAACTGTTACAAGTTCTTTATATACAAGTTCCTTACTGGGTATGTGATTTGCAAATATTTTATCCCAGTGTGGAGGATTAATGGTCAGTTTGAGTAGGAAGGCCCAGCTGAACTGAGTTTGCGTAGTTCTGGGCAGGGAAAGACTACCTGAGGATTGCTGCCAGAGAGACATAAAACAAGAACAGGAGGGGAGGATGGCATGTTGCTGATTCTCTTGGAGAAGTTTGCCACAGCTGGGCCTGCTGATATGAACTCCCCCCAACCCCCCAACCATCGGAGGAGAGGCTCAGGTCCTCACTGTCACCAGGGAGGGCTACTGTTTTCTTTGAGAGAGCGCCGACCTCCTCAAATGTCACTTTCGGGCTCCAGTGCAGATCCTTCACCCCACCAGAGTAGACTTTCTAGCTTCCACCACTGCACCACTGGCTCTTGGGCCTTCCCGGACAAATCCTGCAGATCCTTGCTATGGATTTGCATGAGACATTGCTGTGGGCTCTAGGCCTCCAGCTGTACTTGTGTGGGGCACTACAAAGGGACCCAGGCCATTGGCTGGATTCTTTGGGTCACTAGGACATGGACAGACCTCTTGCACTCTTTTGCATTTCACCTTTTGGGTGAATAGTATAAAATAATTCTCTAAAGGATGTGTTCTGTATTAAATCATTCCCTTGTAAGCCCTGGCTACAACTCCCATTCTGTGAAATGTCTTTTCACTTTCTTGGCAGTGTTCTTTAAAGAATAAAAGGTTTTAATTCTGATACAGTCCACTTTATCCATTTTGTCTCCTGGTGCTTGAGGGTTTTTTTTTTTTTTTTTTTTTTTTTTTCCCATGGAACTGGGGATTGAACTCAGGCCCTTGCACTTGCCAAGGAAGCGCTTATTCCACTGAGCCATCTCCCTGGCCTGTGCTTGAGCTTTTGATGTCATAGCTAAGGATCCACTGTCCATGTGAGGTCACAAAAATTCATTCCTAAATTTTAAAAGTTTGGTGTTTCAAGTCTTTGATCCACTTAAAAATTTAGAAAAATAATGTTGAACTAATATACTAGGTGAAGCAAGAATCCAATTTCATTCTTTTGCTTGTTGGTATCAGCTGTTTTGCAGCACCATTTTTTTGTTTTGAAAAGACTACACTTTTCCCACTGAATATTGTTCACCATATTGTTGAAAACTAGCTGACCCAAAACATTTGGGTTTATTCCTGGACACTCAATTGTGTTCCACTGATCAATAGGTCTATTTTTAGGCCAGTACAACACTGTCTTCATTACTCTGGGTTTATAGTGTTCAACTGAACTGTTAGTTTTTGTTTTTGTTTTTTTTTCTTTCTTCTTTTTTCTTTCAGGACTATTATTCTGAATCACTTACCCCTCACATTAATCTTAGGCTCATTTGTTAATTTCCAAAAAGAAATTACAGGTAAGGTTAGGGAAGTATTTCCATTTTATCAGTGTGAAATGCTCCATTACACTAATATAGGATTTTTTCCCATTTATTTCTATTATTCTTTGAACACTGTTTTGCAGCTTTTATCATGCTATCCTTTTTTTTTCCTTCTGGTATTGAGGGCTGAACCCAGGAAGTTCATACTGATCTACCTGCATAGCTATGTTTTAATTTATTTTGAGACTTGGTCTTGCTAGTTGCCCAGGCTGAACTTGATCTGGCAATCTTCCTGCCTCAGCCTCTTTGAGTGCTGGAACTATTAAGTACATGCCACCACACCTGATTTATGTTGCACTTCTTTTGTTAAATTTATTCCTAAGTACTTTTTTCAGGGGGAGGTACCATTGGAAAGGGAATTACTTTCATTTCAGTTCTAGACTGGTTAATGCAAGTATACAGAAATACAATTAATTTCTGTATTACTATATCTTGCATCCCTACATCATTTAGTAGCTAAAATGTTTTTTAGTGAATGCCTTAGGAAATGTGCATGAGTCTTCTAGCAGTTTGGGATGGAATACTGGAATCTATATCTAGATGTCTCCCAAAGAGCTTCTCAGGTGGTCGCAGATGAAGCTCTCCGAAGGCAACTGGATATGCCGGCTTGTGGCTGACTTGTTATTAGGAAGACTTGCTGGGAGCAAGGCCTGGAACATTTATCTCCCTTCCTGGATCCTTTTGTTCTAATTCCTTTCCACAATGCCTGTTTCTCTTCTCTTATGAGCCTCTGCCATGCAGTCCTACTTTGGAGCCAGTGAACTACAGACAAAGAAGCCTCTACCAACTGTGAGTCAAACTAAACTTCTCCCTGAAGTTGTAGATGGTGGGTACTATGTTCCAAAATGCATAAAGTGGCGAAGACAATCATGGCAGATGAGAAAAGCAACAGTTTAACTTCCTTTCCAATCTCAATGCCTTTTGCTTTGTCTAGTGTAACAAAACGAACAGAAGTGGCAAGTGTGT